GGACTGCGACGAGAAGCTGGACTGGAGGGGGTGGGGGGCCTTGGGGCGGGGACAAGTGGCTGTCATAGGGAACCGCGCCCCCCCATACATCCACCTCAGGCAATCCTCCACCCCACCCCCAAACACACACACACACACACACACACACACACACACACAGCCTGCGCCTGTGCCTATGTAAGAACTCAGACACCGCAGGTGAGGACTCAGGCTAGTCCCCTCCCCAGCCGTACCCACCCCCCCACCCACCCCCAAGGATTTTCTGGACCAGGTTTAACTCCTGGGGTGACAGTCTAGTCCTGGAGGAAGCAGAAGAGGAGCTTCTGACCCCAGGCTCAGCCCATCTGGGGGAGTTTGGCTCCATGAATAGGGTAGACAGTCCTGTCCCAGAGTGACCCCACATCTGGAAGGAACTCCTGTGCCTGCCTGTGGGAAAATGGGGAATTCCCTCTCTCCCTTCAGCAACGGTATCTGGGGTCTCCCCTGGTCTGGAAGCTTCCCTGGCAGAGCATTCTCTTGGCCTGAGCTGACCTCCCGCGAAGCCCAGCCTCTATATTAGGAGGAGCCCCGTCCGGGATGTGCCCCCCCCCCTGCCCTGACACCTCTGCACTTGCACAACAGAAGAGTCTAATACACCAAGAGCAAGACCTCTGGAGATAGGGATTCTGGAAGGATGGCATTAGAGCAGCCCATGTCTACTCTTATCCCAGGATGATGATAGACTTCTCTCTTCCTTCCTCCCTCCAGGATCCCCTCGGCAAGGATGGAACTGAAGGCCGAGGAGGAGGAAGTGGGTGGCGTCCAGCCCGTGAGCATCCAGGCCTTTGCCAGCAGCTCTACCCTGCACGGCCTGGCCCACATCTTCTCCTATGAGAGGCTGTCTCTGAAGCGGGCCCTGTGGGCCCTGTGCTTTCTGGGCTCGCTGGCCGTGCTGCTGTGTGTGTGTACGGAGCGCGTGCAATACTACTTCCACTACCATCATGTCACCAAGCTCGATGAGGTGGCTGCCTCCCAGCTCACCTTCCCTGCCGTCACGCTGTGCAACCTCAATGAGTTCCGCTTTAGCCAAGTCTCCAAGAATGACCTGTACCATGCTGGTGAGCTGCTGGCCCTGCTGAACAACAGGTGGGCGACTCTCACCTCCCCCCTCGGTCCAGCCCATTGGGGTGCCAGTCAGATTGCTTACTTTCTTACCCTACCAAGAGCCAGCCAACTTTGCCCTCTTGCTACCACTTCCCCACCTTCCCCCCCTTCCACAAACCATAAAGGAGCTGGGGTACTGCTAAAGCACCCAATTAAGGATACCCAATCTCTATTCCAATATAATCCAAAACAGCTCTACCCCCACCTGCCCAGCCTGAGCTGTGAGTGAGATGTTAGCACCCAGTCTTAGTTAACTTTGCCCTCCCCCCTGCCTTGTCTTCCTCACTTAGAAATGGGAAAGACCACCTTCAACTGGCAGAGACTATATCACAAATGCCATAACTCCTGCTGCTTCCCTGCTTCATCTTACTTTGTTTTGTGTGCTTATTTGCTTTGTGCCTTTGTGCTGGTCCTGGTGCTTGAACTCAGGGTCTTGGAGCTGTCTCTTGGCTTAAGGCTAGCACCCTACCACTTGAGCCAGAGCTCACTTGGTTTTGTGCTGGTTAATTAGAGACAAATGTCTCTTGAACTTTCCTGCACAGGCTGGCTTTGAACCACAATTTTCATATCCCAGCGTCCTGAGTAGCTAGGATTATAGGCGGGAGCCACTGGTGCCTGACAATGCATCTCAATCTTGTGCTAAGAGGCCCAGCTTTTGAGCAGACACCATAAGTCCTCTGATTCCGTGTGGTATATCCTCTGGACATGCACAGCTCTTCTTCCTTGCATGTCTATGCCAAGATCTGCCCCCAACCCAGGACTGGATGTTGCCCCACCCCAAGTATAAGATGTGCTGTGGTGGTCATGTTCATCCATGTGGTATTTCCCACCCTATTCCTGGCTCCAGGTATGAGATACCTGACACACAGATGGCTGATGAAAAGCAGCTGGAGATATTACAGGACAAGGCCAACTTCCGCAGCTTCAAACCCAAGCCTTTCAACATGCGTGAGTTCTATGACCGAGCTGGTCATGACATTCGTGACATGCTGCTCTCCTGCCATTTCCGAGGGGAAGTCTGCAGTGCTGAAGACTTCAAGGTGGTGAGTGGTTCCCTAATGCAAGTGGGAGTGTCAGCCTGGCCCTCAGAGGAGGAAACCAGGTTTCTCACAAGGCTTGCTGTTTGGGAAGAGGCAATTGTATGTTTTCAGCTTTGCTTTTGACAGGAGAGGACTGTGCTCAGCACTTGGTATATTTGCTCTGTGTGAGACCTGAGCCTCAGCCTTGCCTCCATGACGGTGCTCACCACAACACGCACTTGCAGACATTCCCATACACATACACTCATGTAGCCTGGTCTGCCCCCAGTGTTACTTTCTGGGTCACAGGTGTCACAATTGAGAAAGAGTGGTGGTTATTACTCAAAGTTAATTTGGGAACTGTCACCTGGGAGCTTGAAAGGGATGCAATCTTGACAGGAACCAGTGACTTATGCCTATAGGCCTAGCTACTCGAGAGGCTGAGATCTGAGGATTGAGGTTCAAAGCCAGCCGAGGCAGGAAAGTCCATGAGACTCTTATCTCCAATTAATCACCAAAAAGCTAGACGTGACAAGTTGTAGAGTGCTAGTCTTAAGCAAAAAAAAAAAAAAAAGCTAGGGTCAGTTTCTAAGCCCTGAGTTCAAGCCCAGAACTAGCACCAAAAAGAGAGAGACAGACAGACAGACAGATAGAGAGAAAGAGAAGGAAGGAAAGAAAGAAAAAGAGTGGAAGAAAGGAAGAGAGTGAGAGAAAGAAAGGAAGGAAGGAAGGAAGAAAGAAAGGAAGGAAGGCAGGCCTTTGTACCCCACCTCATTTCCCAGACCTACTGAATCAGAATTTGCATTCTGACAAGATCCCTGTTCGAGAGCTGGAGAGCAATTCAAGTAGTAGAGTACTTGTCTAGCAAATACACAGAGTTAAAACCTCATTACTGCTCCCTTCCCCATACACACCACACACACACATACACACACACACACACACACACACACACACACACACACACACACACTTAAAAGTTTGAGAAGCACCACAAAGCACAGAGGGTAAGCAAACTTTTCTCTTAAATAGCCAGCCAAGTAGTTGGGCATATGGGCACATGCCTGTAATCCTGGCATTCAAGGGGCTGAGGCAGGAGGACTGTGAATTCCAGAACAGCCTAGGCTATAGGTGAAACCCTGTCATGCAACAGGCAAACAGGTTATTTTTCCTTCTGTGGTACCCTCCCTGCCTATGCATACTTGCAGGCACATGTACACACACACACGTTTGTTTAGGTTCTCCCCCTACCAGCAAGAGCCACAGAGGCAGGGTTGGAGGGGCTCAGAATGTACAGTCCTGGCTAAACTCGAGGCTCCCTTTGCTTGTAAAAATGGAGATGTCCCTTTCCAACTGGCACTACACTCCATAGATGTGGTGGCCTCAGGCCAGCCTGAGGAACTGACTTCCACATCCGACCTGCTAGGTAGCCCTAGGCAAGTCACTCAGATTATTCAACAACCAAGCTGGTTGTTGTGAAGCATGCCTGTAATCCCAGCACTCAGGAGGCTGAGGCAGGATGGTGAGTTTAAGGCCAGTGTGAACTACATAGAAAGACCTTGTCAACCACCAACAAGAAAAACAAAAAACAACCAGAAAGAGACCAAAAGACCTACAGCCATATATAAATGGGGGAAAGACGCTTATTAATGCTTCCTAGTGTTTGCCAGGCTCTCTGTATCCCTTTGATAGATAGCCATATTAGCTCTATTCTACAAATGCACAGACCGAGACACAAAGAGGTAGAGTAATTTGCTGCAGTCCACTGCCTGGTTAATGATAGAATCAGGATTAGAACTCATGTTTCTTTAAATCCCAATGAAGTATACTCCCTAGAATTCCTCTGTGCACTTCCACCTTTTTTTTTTTTTGGTAGTACCAGTACTGGGGCTTGAACTCAGGGCCTAGATGCTAACCTTTAGCTTTTTCACTCAAGACTGGCCCTCTACCACTTAAGCCACAGCTCCATTTTGGATTTTTAGTGATTAATGATTTTAAAAAAAAGTCTCAGATTTTCCTGCCCAGGTTGGCTTGAACCTCTTATCTCATCCTCTTGAGTAGCTAGGATTATAGGTATGAGCCACCAGTACCTAGCCACTTTTTCTTTCCAAAGCTTGGGTCCCCAAACATCCCTGGGGTTCTTACTACCAGCTTCCCCATCTTTGAGCTTCCTTTTTCTCCCTGTCCATTTTCTCCCCCACTGGCTTGCTTCCTCCTAGCATGAACTACCATTGTTTGTATAGAAAGACTAAAGCCATGGTCATGTTACTGTTTACAGCTGAGGTTATACAAGACTTCCCCTATTTAAGCCCTGCTCCACAGACAGATTTCACAGGCCTTTGTCAACCCTGCTAGACAAAGTTTGTATGATCTGAATGATCAACAGCTTGCTGAGCTTGGCTGACAGAGAGCTTAAGACAGATGCAACAACCACTTCCTTCTCTTTTCTTTCTTCACTACAGGAAAGGCTTAGATTTCCCAGAGATTGAGACCAGGGAGTCGCCAAGCTCATAAACTATGTTCTTAAGAAAAATAAAATTGTAGGTGAAGGTAGGCAGCAAAAGCCAAACCCACAAGCAGAAGTAACCAGCAGGAAGAAAAGAGAACATACTAACTTTTTTTTTGGGGGGGGGGTCCGGTCATGGGGCCTGAAATCTGGGCCTGGGCGCTGTCCCTCAGCTCTTCAGCTCAAGGCTAGCGCTCTACCACTTGAGCCACAGCTCCACTTGTGGCTTTTTTTTCCCTGCTTATGTGGTGCTGAGGAATCGAAACCAGGGCCAGAATATACTAACTTTGATGGTTTGTGTTGCTAGATGAAAATAGGAAGTGCTTGGCTTAACCTGGAAAGTATAAAGTTGGGATATAAAAAGCCCATTGAAAGTGTCCAGTTGAGGGCTGGGAAGGTGACTCAGTGGTAGAACGCTTGCCTTGCATACATGAGGCCCTGGGTTCGATTCCTCAGCACCACATAAGCAAAAAGAAAAAAAGGCTGGAAGTGGCGCTGTGGCTCAAGTGGTAGAGCGCTAGCCTCGAGCTGAAGAGCTGAGGGACAGTGCCCAGGCCCAGAGTTCAGGCCCCACGACCGGACCCCCAAAAAAAAAAAAAGAAAAGAAAGTGTTCAGTTGAATCTTTCCATCATTTCCAGAAAGACTTTAAATGGTGATGTTAAGACATGTTCAACTGGGCACCAGTGGCTCATGCCTGTAATCCTAGCTACTCAGGAGACTGAGATCTGAGGATCGCAGTTCAAAGCCAGCCCTGGCAGAAAAGACCCTGTGAGGGGCTGGGAAGTTGGCTCAGTGGTAGAGCGCTTGCCTTGCATGCATGAGGCCCTGGGTTCGATTCCTCAGCACCACATAAGCAAAAAGAAAAAAGCCGGAAGTGGTGCTGTGGCTCAAGTGGTAGGGCACTAGCCTTGAGCTGAAGAGCTGAGGGACAGTGCTCAGGCCCAGAGTTCAGGCCCCACAACCGGACCAAAAAAAAAGAAAAGAAAAGACCCTGTGAGATTCTTTATCTCCAATTAACCACTCAAAAACCCAAAGTGGTATTATTGCTCAAAATGGTAGAGCACTAGCCTTGAGCAAAAGAGCTCTAAGACAGCACCCAGGTCCTGAGTTCAAGCTGGCAAACAACAACAACAAAATGACATGTTCAAAGTGAGGCACTGGTGACTCATACCTATAATCCTCGCTACTCAAGACACAGATCTGAGGATCAAGGTTCAAAGTCAATCTGGGTAGGAAAGTCCATGAGATTCTTAACTCCAATTAACTACTAAGAAGCCAGAAATGGAGCTGTGGCTCAAGTGGTAGAGGAACAATCTAAAGCAAAATTGCTAAGGAAGAGCACAAGGCCCTGAGTTCAAGCCCTAGTACCAGCACAAAACCAAAAACATGTTTGGTTTAAAATATGACTGACCCATGTTATCTGAGTGGACAATTTCTTTTTTTTTGCCAGTCATGGGGCCTGAACTCTGGGCCTGGGCGCTGTCCCTCAGCTCTTCAGCTCAAGGCTAGCGCTCTACCTCTTGAGCCACAGCACCACTTCCGGCTTTTTCTGCTTATGTGGTATTGAGGAATCGTACCCAGGGCCTCGTGCATGCAAGGCAAGCACTCTACCACTGAGCCACCTTCCCAGCCCTGAGTGGACAATTTCTAAGCTGTCATGTGAGGTGTGATTGGCTCATAGCATTCTGGAGCAATTTCAGCGTGAGAACAGATACACAGGCTAACACTGTCCAGGCCCCGCTGTAACATTTCTCAGTGCTGGGTTTTCAGGAAAAGACCATAGCTTTCTGTGTCTTCATGTCAAAGATTTGATCCTCATTATGGCTGCTGTGGGTGGGTTGACCTCCCTGCCAGTCCTAGGGCTTGAACTCAGGGCCTGGGCACTGTCCCTGAGCCTCTCTGTGCTAGCACTCTACCACTTGAGCCACAGTGCCACTTCCGGCTTTTTCTGTTTATATGGTACCGAGAAATCAAACCCAGGGCTTCATGCATGCTAGGCAAGCACTCTACCACTAAGCCACATTCCCAGCCTTTACCAGCCTTGTTCTATGTTAAGAGCTTTACCACTTCTACCTGTGGGGTTGCCCCTGCACTGATGGGAGTCAAGTTGTGAGTCACTGTCTGTTATCTTCTTGGTGGAGAATGGCCTAGCAAGGCCCTAGAGGACTCATAGATACTTTGCCTGGTATTCTACCCTTTCATCTCTTCTTGGTCTCATAATGAACATCAATCTCTCCATCCTTCTTATTCTCTGCTAGTCCCAGAGGTGTATTGGGGATGTGGATCATTGAACAAATGTAGCACTAACAGAAAACAGCTGTCTACACAGTGAAGGCTTAGGCAAGATCAACTTGGCTTTTCTTTCTTCCTTTCTTTTCTTTTCCTTTTTTCTTCCTTTCTCTCTTTCATTTTTCTTTCCTTCCTTTCTTCCTCTTCCTCTTTCTTTTTCTTTTCTTTTTTTTTTTTTTTGGTCACTTGAGATTGAACTCTGGGCCTGGGCACTGTCCCTCAGCTCTT